ATGCTCAAATTGAATGATCACATATTGGGCTAAGGCATGCTTATGATAGGGCAATGGAATGTGTTTTAGAGATTGATGTGTGAGAGATATCACTAATAGATGAAAAAAATAAAAAAAAAAGAAAGAAAAAAAAAGAGAAAAAAAAATTCGAAAGGGCTATTTGGGTAGAAGAATCTCTGAGTTGAGAGTTTGATAGACAGTTCACATGGATGAAAGATCAAAAACATTTAAAGATTTCTCAAAGCTGGGGCAAAGCTCAGTGAGCTTAAAATGACTCAAAAAGTCATAGGAATAAGTTTTTAGAAAAAATTCTAGATTAATGTTTACAGTTGTCTAAGTATTTATTGTTTGTACATTGTTGTACCATTCAATACCATCTCTATTGATATGCTTTGAATTCATTTCTTTTATTTATTTATTTTTTGTACCAAACTCACTCGTCATTGATTACCTTTTTCTTAATTCACCTTGTGCTCTTTTATTCTCACATCCCTAGAATGAATTGAGAAAATGAATGATTGCATTGTGTTTACCAAGAATTGAAATGATGATAAATGAATGATAATGTTCATGAAAGATTCTTGTATTCTTTTGAAAAGAAATCTAGGATGATAGGGAAAAAAATAAAGAGCTGGAAGAAACTTGAAAAGATGATTTGGAAGGACATAAGGTGATGAATATAGGGATGAATTGGTTGACATAACCTGTGAGTTATGATCGAATGATGAAAATAATGAGGATCAGTGGACGAAGTTCATTCTTGAATGACTAGTGCTGAGAAGCCTATGAATGGTGATCAAGTGATGAACATAATGTGGATCAATTGACAAAATTTATTCTGAGATTGCTAGTGCTAGGAAACCTATGAGTTATGATTAAATGATATGGAGCAATGGACGAAATTTGTTCTAAAATTGCTAGTGCTAAAAGGTCTGTGAATTGCGACAAGTATCAATGGATGAAACTTGTTCTAAATGGTTAGTACTAAGAAGTTAAAAAAGAAAGATAAGAGATGGTGGAGTCTTGAGAGCCATATTACCATATTTAATTAGAATTTCATGACATTGACATCTGCATTACATGCATTACATTTGTATTGTTGCTTGGAGAATATTTGAAACTTTGGTTTGGCTATGCATTTACATCATGCAGTAAACATTTGAATCGTGATTGAAAATCTGGTATTGTGAGAATCTAGATTGTTGTATTTGCATTATTAAGAAAGCATTTGCATCATCGATCATGACATTCAGTACATACAAAATTTTGATTTTGATAAAAGTTTGAAAGTTATCTGGAAAAAAAATTTGAATCTTTGGATGAAATCTTTTAAAATAAAATTGTGAATCCTCAAATGAGAATCTTTGAGTTGTCAGATGAAAATCTTTGAGTTTCAAATAAGAATATTTAAGATGTGAAACCCTAAAATTTATCGGATGTGAATCTTTGAACTCAAATGAGAAGCTTTGAACTTTTGGATGTGAATTTCTAAAATTCAAATGAGAATTTTTAAATGTTGGATGCAAATCTTGCAATTTGCAAATGCGAATCTTGAGATCTCGTAAATTTGAATTCTTATGAAACTGAAATTTTGAGAATCAAATTTTAGTGAATTCTTACAAAACTGAAAGGTTCTTGCGAATCTAAACCTTTAATTTTTAAACTAAAATTGTGAATCTTTGAGTTTTCATTACAAATTTCATCAAATCTGATCTACGAATCCTCTAGACATGATCATCAATGAGCATTTTATTTTTCAAAGTTGTGGTGCCTCTGTTTAGAGGAGCATTGTACTTTTTAAAGTTGTGGTGTCTCTATTTAGATGAGCATTTTACTTTTCAAAGTTATGGTGCCTCTGTGAGCATTTATTTTTCTCAAAGTCGTTGAGCCTCTGTTTAAAGGAACTTTATTTACTTTTTCAAAAAATAGAAAAAAAATAAAAAGATGAATGTGTTGGGATGATCATGTGCAGGGTGTCTACGTCTTTGCATAATTCCTGTTACACAAAAAATGTATAAAGAGAGGTAGCTGTAAACACCTTAATTGGTCAAAGCCTAAGCCCATTAAGCTTGGTTCAACATGATCTAGGCCTAAGCCTATCGGGCCTGGCTCAATGGGGTTCAAGAAGTCAGGCCCAACTATTTATTACTTTTTTATGGGCTTTATTTTTATTTTCTTATTATTTATTATTTTGATTTTGATTTTGATTTTTTTTTCATTTTAGTTGATGATAGGATAATAAAAAATAAAAATTTTGTCGTGCTTGGGGTGCTAATAGAGTTACAATTGGTTTTAATGTTCTTAGGTTCAAGGATAATGCAGAAATTCAGTCAAAGGTGAGAGTTAAAATTAATTAGGAACTCTCCTAATTCACCCTATAAATATTCGTACTGATCAAAGGCCAAAGGACAGAAACATAAAAAACACAGCAAGTAGAAAAAAGTAAAAAATTTTGAAGATTTTTGGGTTTAAAAAAAAGAGGGGATTTTTGGAAAAATCTGGAAAATCCCCAGATTTCTGGAAAATTTTCAGTTTTTGGTGAATTTTTTAATGTCGGTTTGAATTTTTTAAAGAGTTTTTTGATGTTGGTTAAATTTTTCAACAGGTTTCCCAGAATCTGGTTGAAGATTCTAACATCAATTAAATTTTTCGATGACCGTCCGACGACTAACCTAGATTCCGACGACATTCCCTAAAATTCGATTGATATTCAATCGGAGTTCATTCGGTTTCTAGATAGATATGAGAGAAAATAAAAGGGAAGAAAGAGAAAGGAAAATGGAGATCTAAAGCAAAAAGCTGAGAATTAGCATTTTATACCATTGCAAAACGACAGCATTTTGGCATTAAGAAACCCATCAGGATCCGCGTGTTTCCATTCGGGCAACCCGATCTGTAACACTAACCCGCTTTAACCCGCTTCGTAGGCCCTACTGTCGAGTCAAGCCGAGTTGATTTCCCCCCAGCGGCGTTTCGAACCGTTGTCTGTGTCTTAAGCCGAGCCGTTCCTTTTTTTTTAGGTTTTTTTTGGTAATTTATTTATTTATTTATTTATTATGTGTTTATTTATTTTTAGGAGTATTTTTGCATGATTAAATTTAAAAAAATAAAAAAATAATAAATTTTGGAAATAAATATTAATTTTCCAATGATGAAATTTATAAAAATTTTAAATGATAAATTTATATAAAATTCCTAGGTGAGAAATTTTGTCTAAAATTGTCTCAAATGGTGGAATAATTTAGATAAGGTTTCAATAACAATAATTAATATTTATTTTCAATCCAAAAAAATAAAAAATAAAAAATTTTGGTTGAAAATATTTGACAATTATCCAATGATGAGATTTTTAGAAATTTCAAATGGTAAATTTTTTAAGAAATCTCTAGGTGAGAAATTTCTTTAAATTTGTCTCAAATGATGGAAAAATTTAAATGAGATTTCAATAAAAAATAATTTTATATTATTTTCTTTCTGAAAAAAAAAAGAAAAAAGAAAAAGAATTTCTAAATTAACCCAAATGGTGAAAATTTAGAAAATAAAAAAAATAAATAAAGAGAATTTTTAAATAGGCCCAAATGGTAAAAAATTTAGAGATTCAAAAAGAAAAAATATTTCTAATTTGGCCTAAATGGTGAAATAATAAGATATATTTTCAACAATAAAAATAATTAACAAAAATATTTCTAACAACGGAGCCTCTTCAAGGAAACAAATAGCATCTTTGAATATTCTTGAGGTGAAAAAATATTTTTAAGAATTCTATCATATTGATAAAAGAATCTTATAAATTATTTTCAATATTTAACATAAAAATTTGAAACTATTAGAATCAAGACCTTAGGATAAATTTAAAATAAAATGGTACAATATTTCGGATGGACATGTAGGGGTATTATAACCTTACCCACATGTAACCGAACTCCCGAACCTTGTTCTAGTTAGTAGACTCGAACCTTTTTTTAGGGACCCTTAATCAAGCTTAGGAGCTCCTTAAGAGGATAGTTTTCTTAGGTTACCAATCACACCTAGATAAAAAAGATTGGTGGTGACTTCATCTATTTGTTAAGTCTAGTTATTGATTTACGGATCTATATGTTATGACAAAGATCTCACGATTTTATTTCACAAAAAGCATTTTATAAATTTATGTTTAGATCTCTACATATATATATGGTGGGTTTAAATCTCTATATATATATAGTAACTCTGACGATGTAACATTTAGTTCTTGTAGTTGAGGTATTGTCCCCTTTGACATGTGATGTAACACTTAGTTCTCACCGATTGATGAAAGTTCTGATACTATTTGTGAAGATTATACTCAACCTATGAGATATTATCTGTTTTAATCCGAAAATCTCATAATTTTATCTCACAAAAAATATCTCACAAATTTGAATTTAGATTTATATATAGATATATATTATACTATATCCATATATTCTTTTAATATGAAATTGGGGCGTTACATATATATTACCTTTTAATAGCAAGGACTTAAGATTAGGGAAATGAACCAGACAAACAGATCGTATGTTTTGAATTGAATGCAACAGATGTGTTTCTTCTATTACAAAGAACAAATAAAAGAAAAAGGCAAAGTATGAAAAAAAAAATGTTATATCTACCGTTTTTCATCTTCGAACTCAATATATAAAATGCTAACCCCATTCCAATGGGAACCTGCCCGCAGGCAAGCCACTTTGTTCTTTTTGCTTATTGCTCAACGTTCTTTTGATATTCACTATTCTATTTTTTTGTGCCTTTGTGACGTCTTTATGCAGGTGGTTTTAGTTGAATTTGAGTTTTCCTTTTCTTTTTTATTCTTATTTTATTGTCGAAATCTGAGTTTTCAACTAGTATTAAAAAAAGGAATATGTAGAAAACGATAAAATAATCCTTGTCTTTGACTGAGACTGCTGTTAAAAACGTTTAATGCCCAGTTCGTCAACATTCCTGGCCTTTGCGTTCAATGATTTGATACATAATTTGGCAATTTGCAATCTCACTGAAACAACCCTTCATAAGGCTTGTCTAGATGAAGACAAATCTTTGTACCCAATAAACGGATAGCTTCCTACAAAGCATAAATTAATGCAAAAAAAGAAAGCTAGAATTAAAAAAACCAGCTGTATAACAAGCCACAAAAAACAGTACAAATCAGCTTTCAAACAAATTCTTTCATTGTCTCAATAACCCTTTTAGACAACCTTGCCAGCAAGCCAGCATCACTAGTATTTGTTCAAATCTAGCTCTTGTGGTACTGTGTATGCGAAAGGCTAAGACTGTTGCTGTGGTGAACAGTTAATTGAGAGTAAATGAAGAAAGGTTCTGTTTCTTTGAGCCATCTGCGTGCTTTTCCAAGCCCAGGAGCATCATATTACCGTGATAATGGCGTGGTGGTGGCTCAAAAAGGGTGGAGTTCAGAGAGAGTGCCACATCCAGCTAATAGCAATGGTAATAGCAGAAGACATATCAGTGCTTCCTCTTTGACACCTTTTTATAGTGGTAGAACATTGCCTTCCAAATGGGAAGATGCTGAGAGGTGGATTTGTAGCCCTGTTTTGGGTTACGGTGTTAGCAAGAATGCAAACTATCAGCTTCAGAGGCGGCCAAAGTCCAAAAGTGGGCCGATTGTGCCTCCTGGAATTGCATTCTACTCTAATTACTCTCCTTCAATGCAGCTACTTGATGGTGGAGGCAGTGGCAGTGTGAGGAATTTGATGGCAGGCTCTCCATTTTCAACTGGGGTTTTGATGGCTGATGGGGTTTCTGTTCATTATGGTGGTTGTAGAGGCACTGATGCTGGTGGAGATGGTGACGGCGAGCAATCTTGTATGGTGCAGAATGAGGGTAATGTGTCACAATCCTCTATTATACCTGGATGGTCAGATTTGGTTAGTGAGACTTCATTGCCCAGCTCTCAAGGTATTACTGTTCTTTCTTTGTTTTGAGTATCATTTGCTTGCAATTTTAACTTCGGCTGCTATACTTCCTAGTACTTATCAGCTGATCTGACTATGGAAGTTAAAGAACATGAATTTGGGTCTCATGGAATGTTCCATAGGTATGATATTTAGTTAATCACTAGTCTTCCCTTTTCATCAAATCCAAAGTAGGTTAATCCAAGCCCCAAAAAACCCAGTTAACCTCCCATGATCAAACTCCCAGTTCTGTTAATATCTAACCAGTAATGATTAATTGTAATAATGAAGTTCTTAAAGATCCATCTGGAAGGAAACTGTGAACTGTCCTTACACAGACAGACATACCCTGAGGGCAGAAGAATCATATTTAAGACTTAAGAGCTGCTGGGACCTCTTTGTTGTGGAAGTGCTGCCCTGCTAACTGATAATGCAGTGTGTAGAACAAATATAATGTGTTTAAAATTACATATATCTTGCTAAATCTTAGCTTCTAATGAAATTCCATTTGAGCTTGAGACTTGGAACTGCTGTCACTGCAATAAAATCTTTTTGTGTGTATGTGTGCGTCTGTGGCTTAAGAGACTTAAATAGAATAGATGTGGTCATGGATGTGGTCATGGATTGGGAGTTGAAATTAATAGAAGGCTATATCTTTAAAGAAGTTTTAAACGAATTACCTAGATGTAAGATACTTCGTACATTATAAGGATTAGTTTTTCATGTCATCTCTATTCATATTGGCTTCAAAACAATGCATGATTCCTTTGTGTACAATTTGGATCAAATTGTTGCAGATGAAAAGCTTGATGAAATCAAGGATGAAGAAATGATGATCACTCGTGTAGTTTCAAGGAGGGATATGGCAACACAAATGAGCCCTGAGGGCAGTAGCAGCCACTCATCTCCCAGAGAGAGGTCTTCATTTTGCCACTCGCCTCCCCCTATCCTTCCTCTTCCTTCTGTGGAGAACAATGAGCATCCTTCTAAATTGGACATCAGGGAAGTACAGATAGACAAACGAGCCACCATTACTAACTGGTCCAAAAGACATGGATCAAAAAGAATCAAGAAAGGCGTGCCAGATTTTGAAGACTTCTATCAAAACAGCAGGGCAGCTTCTGGTTTATCTCTGGATATTTCAGAGGCAGCAACAAACATTTCAAAGTATGTTTTATTCCAATTACAAAAGGAAAATTCCAAAATAAACACCACTGAATCCTTTACAATTTGAGGCAACATTAATGCGTAATATGAATCTTGAAATTCGATGAATACATGTTCTGCCTTTCTTTATGAAATATAGAATGTAACTTTCAATAGTGGGGACAGCAAAACATTCCAGCTTCCCTGGAATCCAACCTTGGATGAATTGAAGTTCAAGTTCTGTCACTCAATGCTATAGTCTTTAATAATTTCAAGGAAATTTCCAATATTCAGTTTCTAGATAAACTGCACCATGATATCAGGGCCTTGACCTGGAGCATTAATATAAAACTTGGGGAGTAGTTGAAGTGTCAGAAATATAAAGGTTCTTTTCTAAAGCAACTTTTAACTTGATTTTGCAGGTTGCAAAGAGAGGAAGCAAAGATCAGCGCATGGGAGAATTTGCAGAGGGCAAAAGCTGAGGCAGCTATACGAAAACTAGAGGTTCACATGCACAAAGGAATTCTTTTTATTGTCTCTCTATCCAATAGCTTGAGCTTTCTTAAGATCTTTTTCTGCCTTTTTCTATTTACCTTATCATTTTATTTCATATTCCTTTTAAGTAGGAAGACATATAGAATCAAGGGCACTGATAGAGTACTGTATTTTACTAACAGATGAAATTGGAAAAGAAGAGATCAGCATCAATGGATAAGATCTTGAGCAAGCTGAGGATGGCTCAGATGAAAGCCCAAGAAATGAGAAGTTCAATATCAGGCAAGGAGGATGAACAGATTCCTACTTCACGGAAGTTTACATTCTTTCATATCCGCACGAGTTCCTTCAGCAGTTGCTTCTCCTGCCATGATTACTAGTTTCCTGCAATGCGATTTACAAGGGCTCAAATCTTTTCCACCAGGTATTTATTAAAGTTTGAGTTATTAATTCCAGATTTTGTATATGCTCGCTGGTTTCTTGGCTTCCCCACTCTTTCATGTATAATATATTACAAATTTAGGATGTCTCTCCATTCTGAGTTAGAGCAGCTAAAATGGATCATTCCCTGGTCCAGGAAAACGCGGATTTCAGATTCTTGTTCTTAGTGGATGGGATTTTTGTACGCAAAAGTAATTATCAGCAAATATCATCTTTTATGGTTTTCAAAGTCCACGGACCAGGCAATAGGTTGGTCTTATCTATTGCTTTACTGATTTTTTAGTTGGCGAAACACCACTATTAAACACAAAAACACAAGCTTAATATTTAACAGGGCACATAGCAACAAATAACACTTTACCCTGTAAAAAATTTAACACTTTACCAACAAAATAACATAACAATTTACATACAACGATTTTATTGTTGGAAATAAAAAGATATTCCTTCATAGTCTTATTTTTATTTTTAATAAAGAAATACAACTGACATGTTTGTTACAAATATTCAACCCAAGGGTAATAATACATAAAATAAATAAAAATGATAGATACAAGTAATACAATGGATGATCAACTTGGTACGGACTGGTTTCAATTAGACTTCTTGGAGTTCTTAGAAGATTCAACTTCTTCATATACTTTGATAGTTCCCAATCGAGTTGCATTCACATAATCCAAGGGATTATGATCTGCCACGCCTGGGAAAAGAAGCGCAGAAAACCTGACCATCAGTATCAGCGATAAACTCTCTCTGTATTCTGATCCCTTCAGCAATGGCAGATAAAAGCTCCTTAATAGCTCCAACAATGCATTAAAGAACCTCCGGATCGATCCAAACATCGAAATGTAATTCTTGTGTGGTTCTTCAGCAAGTACCTGCAACCCAAAAAGAAAAAAAAAATTTCTTCTTAAATCTCGGTTTTAGGAGTAAATAGTATCATTAGCTTTAAACTTATATTTTTATAATATTTCATTTTCAATTATGACTGATGGATGAATGAATCTAGTCGTATGATTACAATGCTAATATGCTTGAAGAACAGTGTGGGAATTAAAGAGAAAAGAAAGGTTTACCTGCCCTCGATAGCAACTATTAAAGTAAAGGCATTGCCCAAAGTGGATGTACAGGGAAGTTACAGGATCATCCATAGGCAATCTAGGAACCAAGTCATTGCAGTAAACAAACCTCAGGTATTTGATACCATATTTACGAAACTGCATTTCCATAAACGTCTTGAACTTCTGATCTCCAACTCTGGGTTGCCCAAAGGTATAAACCCCTTCCAATCTCCCCAACAAAGTTGTTTCTTCATGCAATGCCAGAATAGCTGGGAACAGAATTGCAAGTGCCCCACCCAGACTGTGACCAGTCACTATAAATTTGGTTTCTTTATTTGCCTCCAACCTCTTTCTCAACTCCTCTCTTATGCTATAATAAGCCAAGTTTTTACCTTGTTTTTCCTCAGGGAGCTTTGGGGGCCAACCTTGTTTCATTACTAAGCCTAGAGCTTTCATGAACCCTCCATGGATCTTCCCCATTTGTTGGTTGTCAAAGCAGGAGATATCCATGTCCGTACTCCAATCATATGCATTAAAAGGTTCGGTACCTCTAAAGGCTACAACTATCATATTGACCGTTTGATCATGGAACATGAAGCCCTGCGTGTTTGGTTTATCTTGATAATCTGCCCAAAATTAAGTATGCTTAATTTTGTTAATATGGTCATGGGCTTTAAATAATACAAACGAAATTTATATAGTAATAATATCTCTTACCATTCCAAAAATCGTACTCCTTATCAATGAATTTCATCTGCATCATGTAGACTCTTCAAAGTAAAATACATATATAAACATGAAAATTTGCTACATTTTGATTAGTGTTATACTGTTGTTTATGATAAGAATTATATATGCACATAATAATCACTCAAATTACATTTACATACATACATACATAAAAATTGACAACATAAGGATTAAATTGAAAAAAAAAACTTTAAAGAAAAAAATAGATACGTACACAATTTATGTGTATGAAATATGTATATGTAGCATTTGACCGTTCATATATTATTAATGAATTTGAACTATTGCATTTGACCGTTCATATATTATTAATGAATTTGAATTATTATGTATAAGTACATTCTTATATCTCAATTTAAAGAGGATATTTCAATGGTTAGAACTTAAAATTTTTTTCTCAATTCAAGCATTTTGCATAGATCGATGATGGGGCTTACCAGCTAATTAGACTTGACTAGCTTGAACTTTTTATAGAACTAGAATTATGCGTGAGCTTTTTTAATTTAATTATTTATGAAAATAATTTTAAATTGAATAATAATATTTAAAAATAATTCATCGCTTCATTCTCCACCACCACATGGCAGTCAAGTAACCACTTACATTTTTTAGTATAATTTAAACATTAAAAGTATTAGTTTTTTTTAAAAGAAGATACCATGGGAGTAGTTGGCTTGAGGATCATTTTCATATAATGTATAAATAGATAGATTTAACTTTTTACATAATCCCATGAGTACGGGCGGAGGGAAGGATAATTGGGAATTTAGTTAGGACACAAAATTTAGAAGGAAATTTACCTTCCAATGTTGTTCAACTGTTCTTTTAATAAAGCCCTTATTCTCATAAGCTAATTTAGCCGCCATTGCAGCCAATGCTGAATTGTATCTAGCATTTCCCGGTTGGATATTCTTGTCTAATTTAACCCGCCTGTCAAGATGTCCAATGAACGACATAAAACCATCTGATTTACGCTTAGGAATTTTCACCTTACCTATAAATCCAAGCAATGTCAATACAAATTAACAAAGGAATTTAACTTCAACATAATCTAAGGGCAAGAAATTAAGAAAGCAATTAATGAGAGACGTGACTTACATCGCAATGTGTTTAGCAAGAGCATGAAAATGTTGCCATTGAATGAGACGAGGTTCAACCACATCTCAAGCGTTTGTCCAAACCATTTCATGGGTTTTACAGTATGGAGCAGACATTTTTGAGCTGTGAGAGAGGCGATTGCAAGCCCTGTTTCAAGGAACCGTTTTTCTATTTTCTCTGGTAGAGAAATATATGCTTTTTTCTCCATCTTTTTGCTCCATAATAATCGAATAACCTCCCATGCACTGACCTCCTCTGGCTTTAGCACCAAATAATTGTCTGCTTGGTATTTGTCAGCATCCATGGTTTTAGTTAGAAAAGAAGAAAAAACAAAGACTACTTTAGAGGATTTAGAATGGCTTAATTTGGCTGTGAATAAACAGTGTCATAAATCATAATATTCAACTTCTTAAATATTGGCAAACAAACACTTTGGGATATATACTTAGCTTTGTAACCCATCCAAAAGAATCAGGAAAAAGGAAGTGCTACTTTTGCAATGGAATGTTGTTAAAAGGGAGGTGGGAAATACAGGAGGGAGAATTTTAATTAAATAAAGATTTATAGTCCACCGTATTAATTAATATTTGTAAATGAAAATTTTGGAAGGATTGTTGAAAAGTTTCAAATCTCTAACGAGGTTCGATTTAGGTTCTTTGCACATTTGCTAAAATGTAGATTAGCTCCTTAATTAATGGGTGAGTCACATTTGATAAAGTAATATGTTTGGAACTTAAAATTAAAGTTAAAAAATTTTACATAGAAAAAGGAATGAAGGAGGAGAAAAGTTACCACTAAACAACCTAATGATCAGTTGAATGTTGAATTACCAATTCAACGATTTAGTTGAATAGTAGACTCTTAATTATAATAAACAGTACGATTTGGGTTAGCTCTCACATTATTATAGTTGAAAGTGATTTAAGGAATGCAATTATTTAAGCTAATATCCAGTTCCACTTTGATGTTCTATGGTGTATGAAGCCAGCTCATATCTAATCAAGTTGAAAATCTAAAATTTAGATTGAAAGTTATTTCGTTATATTATACTTTATACTTAACGTAAGGCCAATTTAATTATTGATCTATTTGCCAAATCAGGAAATTATTGGTCTAGTAATCTTGTAACTTGGTTGTAAAAGCCTTTGGTCCTTTTGTTTTTCGACTGTTAATCTTCGTTCTATTTTTTAACCTTAATAACTTCAAATTAGAGAGAGAGAGAGAGAAGTTAAGGTATACGTTATGTAAATATGACGTTGTGATTGCTTAGGCATTTAGCAAATGGAGATTCAGATTCTAACTGTACTCAAGAAGAAAATTAAAATGAATAAATCCTAAGAGTAGCTATGTGGGAAAGCACTGGTTCTATCAACGAGAAACACATTTCACTTTCATGATCTGCTTTTTTCATCACATGTAACACATGCAGAATATCTGAGACATGCAGATTTTAATGGGTTGGAGCTAAATTTTCTATCTCAATTTTCGAGTTTTTTATCAAGAAACTTCATCAGAGGTAACTTCAAACATTTTTCTTGGCATGTTTTTCTAAAAGGCCAAGCAAAAGACCGTCATTAGAGGTGCTGATAATTCAAATTGGACTTTCACTTACGTTTTGCCTAATCGAAATCCTTGCAAGCCCTACTTGGTTTATATATAAACAAGCTGGGCCCATTATTTTGGGACTAGTTTATATTTATTTATAGTTTGGGGGATAAAATTCAATTAAGTTTGTGATCTTAGAGGAGTTTTGTTGCTTTATATTAGACCTAAAATGGAAGATTTATTTTTAAATGAAAAATTAGTACTAGTATTCACAATATTTAAATATTGAAGGGGAAATTTGGATAATGATTCTTTATAACCACAACAATCTTCTCCATGGAAAGAAAAATTCAGCTCCTTCGATGAAAAATTCAGTTGGGATTCTCAATTTACACCACGTTTCATTATCGATACTGTGAGTTCTGTGCGTTGTTACAAATATTTATTTTTATAGATAAGTTAAGATATTAAAAACTAGTTTAATATTCTTACGATGCATGAATTATCTTTACTTATTGAAATATATAAAAAAATAAATTAATACTATTTAATCACTCTCAAAATATATGTAAATACATATAATATAATTAAAATATAAATCCATAATAAAATTAAAATCTTTTATTAAAAAATTTGACAAAAGTCAAAATATATTATAAATAATATTTGAGGAAAAATATTCAAAAGGTTTTATAAATAATATTATTAGATTATCCAACAAAATGTTAAAAAAAAATTATCATTTTAAATTAAATTTTTTTAATTTTCATCTTATGTGATTATTTTTATACACTTGTAATTATTTATCAAAATAATTTGAAGTTATCAACGAAAGTGTCCATATAAGTAGTTTTAGGAATTTTTTACACATAAAAAAAACTTATCCACGTAAACGTCTACATCAGTAAATTTTATATGTTAATTATGTATGTTATAATATAATATACTAGTTTGTAACCTGTGTGATATATGGATTAATTTTATTTATTAATTAAAATATTTTAAAATTATAAAATTATTAATTAAAATTTATTACTACAAACAAACTGAAAAGATTATTTTAAAATATCTATCAACAATTAAATATCAATTCATAAGAAAATATTTATGTAACCGATAGATAAAAAAAATTACTTTGGATCCAAAAGAAATTTCTTTGGAATATAGTTGATTCCCACTTTTAAATCTATGTGATTCCAAAACTAATAATTAATGTAAGAAACCTACTCAAGTTACAAAAATATATAAAAACCTACTTATGTTACAAAATAGTAAAAAATAATTTAGAAATTCTTAAATTGAAAATACTTATTGACTAATCAAAACTTACTATCCTTACCTTCATGAAAAATAATATTTTGTGGCTTAATATTCATATGCACAATTCATGTTATCACTTTTTTTAGTTGAGAAAAAATGTGTTAATATAAAAGTTAAAAAGGTAAATATTTAAAAATTTAAATATAGTAGCAATAATAATAATTATTCTCTTTACTCTATTTTTGTTTCCCATTTTTTATTTAATAAAATATTATAATAAACATAACCTTGCATGTTAAACACCATTATCAAGAAGTTTCATATGTCCAAAATATAAATAGTAGGATTAATAATTAACTAATTATTTGGCATCTAAATAGGATCACCGCATAGAGCGGGATTTTCACAAAATTAAACTTAATACATATTATAAAAAATCTAATAACCTGAAATACATATATATTATCTATAAATGATATAAAACCAATTTCTTTATTCAAAGATTTTTTTCGTGGCACAACACAAAAATATACCTCAAAATTTTATTTTAGTGTTTGAAAATTGTGATCTTGATAAAAAAAAGTAATTAAAATAATTAGAAAATGTGAAGCAAATAAAAAAGGAGTTAAAAATAAACAATAATGTTAGAAAATAAAATTAACTCAAAAAAAGAATTGACATACCTTAACTTAATTTTAGTATTGATCAAACCATTAAAAAATATTAAGAAATTTGCATTAAAAAAAGAATTTGACTAAAAATAATATACTTGTGGGATTATTAGATGTGAAAATATATACTTCATATTTAACCTATAATCAATGTAAGTTCAATCAAAGAAATAGTAAAAAATTTTGAAAGTATAAAGGATATAATAATTTATTTTAATTTGTTTGAATTTAAAAAAATACCAAATATTAAAAGATTATGAGGAATTTTACAAAGATACTGAAATTTTCAAATTTAAAAGAGATATATGTATATTATTGGAAAATTTATTTTAAAAGAAATATATCTAAATTATATTTAATTTTAATACTTTACATATAATTAATCTTAATATTTAAAGCAATATACATAGGAAAAAGTCAAAAAGTTAGTAAAACTATAATGATTTAATTAAAAAATACTTGATATTTAAAAGTTAGCATTTGAATTTTGGATTTGATATATATTGACGATAAGAGTTAGTTGAGTTTTTTTTTATTTAAATTAAGTTGAAGTTCATATAAAATTGAAATATTGGATAAACTTAATTTTTAAAAATTTAAAATTATTTGGTAAATAATTAAAATTAAAGAATTATCTTATGCATAGGTTTATTTGGTTGTATATTTAAAATTATCATGTGTCATCAAAATATATTGTATACATAGGATTACACGCGAGCAAATTTTATCATGTATTCTTGTATGTTGTAATATAATATTATATATGATTGATTTTTCATTTAAATCTTGATAAACTTTAATCCATAAATATATTTAAATGATAATTTTATCTATAGATAATATCTAATCAGATAATAATATTTAAATATTAGTATTTTATACCTTTATCCTCCAAAAAGAAATATCTAATTAAATAATTACTTGATAACTCTAAACTTGAGAAATTCTATCAAAGTGACCAATATGACTTATTAGAGTTATCTAACACAGATTTTCTTCGTACTGTTATTTAGTTGTACATTGTGATTTCATCTGATAAATAAAAGAAATAAATTTATTGAGTTTATTTTCTTATTTATTTTTAAATCATAATAAAAAAGATATTAGCTTAAGTGGCTTTTAATTAAATTTATTATGAATTGAGAAATAAAAAAAAGAAATGTTATAGCTAATTTTAAAAAAAAATCTTACTTGATAAAGTGAATAGTATGTTTAGTGAAATAGTATCTATCATAAAAAAAAACTTGTTAGTTCTTATAGTAAGAATAGACTAATAAAAAGAAAGATTAAATTAATAGTAGGAAAGATACGTTTAACTCATATGCTTCGTAGGACATTGGGAGAGTTATATAACTAAAAACTACCAACAATTAGAGGTTTTTTGAAGTTATCATGGTATTTATATATATTTTTGCATATTTCTTAAAATATTAATATTAAAAGTCTGTGACAAATATTGATCTAAATTTAAATTTTATTTTAATTTAGATATCTCTAAATATATTTTTTTAAGCTAGTGGATTGTTTATTA